AAAGAAACTATTTGGTATTTCAGTTAAAGAAATCTCTGTATGAACATTAAAAATAGGGAATCCTAAAATAAAACTAAAAAGGAAAGTAAAAGAGAAAAGGCAATAATGTAACATCCAAATAATCCTTAATTCTGGAGATGAAAATGTTCCCTGAACATATTTAAATTGCTTCTCACTCTTACAGTCTTTTCTTATTCTTTTTTCATTATTTAGAGAATACTTTATTAGTTTCTGTAATCAAACCCACGTAGATATGACCTTACATATTTAGTACGATGTGTTACCCCTGTACACATGGAAAAAAAATAAAAATAAATTAACATTTCTAGACCAATATGGCTGTCCATTTCTGTACAATGCCAAGTCAACACAGTAAATTGGGATGACTTTTTCCTAAGTTGGCAGCACCGTTAAAGTTTCCCAAAATTCAATTTATATATATATATGTGTGTGTGTGTATATGTATATATAAAGACTAATAATAGTATGTTATGCATCGATAGCAGCAACAGCTTTTCCAGGTTCTGCAGTCATCTGAACAAAATTTAGACATTCGGTACATTCCATTAAAAAAAATAAAAAGAATAATATCCAGACAACAGCCAAGTTCTTTTGCTGTTGTGGTACCTGGCACCATTTTTTCTATTAGCCTCTTAATCATCATCTGGAAGGAAAACATTCTAGAGTGATATCATTAAATGTAGCTCTGATAAAGCACGGTCCCTACTATGTATCATAAAGCAGGTACTAGATATTTTACATTCATAGAGGTATGATACAGTACAGTCCCACATCAATAGTACTAGATTCAGTTTTGGTTTGAAATTTACTTTATTTGCAAATAAGATTGCTACCCCTGATTTTTTCTGGGCTCCTGTCACATGGAGAATTGTTTTCTATCTTTTCACTTTCAGGCTATGGGCTTCTTTTTGCACTAGGTGTGTTTCTTGTATACAACATATTATTGGATTTTGCTTCTTATTCCATTTTGCCAGTCTATTTCTCTTGATTGGTGAGTTGAGGCCATTGACATTGCTGGTTATAACTGATATGTACTGACTTATTATTGACATGTTATTGGCCTTTTGTTAACTCTTTTTACTTTTACACCTTCTTTTAATTTCTTGCCTTGCCTATTTGATTTGCTCTGTTGGGCCTCATGGCATTGTTGCCTTCATTGTCTTTTTCTAGGATCTTGTTTAGAATTGCTTGTAGTGCTGGTTTGGTATTCATGTAGTTTCTCAGGTGTTCTTTGTCGTGGAAGTGTCTTATTTCCCCATCCATTTTGAAAGAGAGTTTTTCAGGATACATCAGTCTAGGTTGGAGGTTGTTCTCTTTTAGTATTCGAAATATCTCATTCCAGGCTCTCCTTGCCCCAAGGGTTTGTGTTGAAAAGTCTGCTGTGATTCTGATGGGCTTTCCTTTGTATATGATTTGTTTCTTTTCTCTTACTGCTTGTAGTATTTTGTTCTTCTGTTGGGTTTCTGGGATCTTGATTATTATATGTCTAGGTGTAGATTTTTTTTGATTGTAGCTAGTTGGGGTCCTATATGCCTCAGTTATCTGAATGTCAAATTCTTCCCCTCTGTTTGGGAAGTTTTCTGTCATTAATTCTGCAAACAGCTTTTTTAAGTCATTTGTATGTTCTCCTGCTACTTCATGGATTCCTATCAGTCTTACGTTATTCTTCTTTGCATCATCTAGGAGTTGTTGGATCGATTTCCTATGATCTCTTACTGTTTTTAAGGGACCTCTCTTTTCCTGGTCATTGACTGCAATCTTATCTTCTATATCTGAGAGCGTATCTTCGCATTCTTTTATTCTGTTGCATACACTTTCAATAGAGTGTTTAATCTCCTGGATATCTGTTTGAATCTGTTTTATGGATTCCATTTCTTCCCTATGTTGGG